CCATATGTTTCATGTACAGAGTCTTGATCCTGAAGAAGGAGTAGATTTACTCTGAAACATGTTGGATGCTATTTAGGAACTCTGTTATGTCGACACAATTTTGTATGGTATAATTGTACTCATTTGTATATCACCGCCTGTTGAATGTTTTATGGCTAATATTCATCTATGTTTAATAAAGACTGATGTAATTTTTACTCATTTTGGTGATGCCTAAAAAAGTCCCGTTTAGGTTTTTTTTTTCTCCTATACAATTTTGCACTTTAGGGATATTGGCATCTATTAGATATACCTCGGGATCACTTCTCTTATATACATTATTAGTTTTTCCATTTTTTGTGAGTCCTAAACAAAGCACAGAGAGGAAAGCTGAGTGTAATCTGAGGCCTGAGTGGAGGGAATGGACCCACCGTCCTCTATACAGTCTCATAGGAAACCATGCACAGTTGAGGCTGTCAATCACTTGCTGTGTGCTGGAGGGGGCATCTCCCGGGATTGCTCGGTGTCAGGATAATTGCTCTGATGTGATTAATGCAGATAGCAGAGAGATGATTGACATACAAGAAATCACACAAGGTGCTTTACATTGAGGCAAGTACACCCTATAGAAGGTTATGATTTGTTCCTTTTCCATTTCAGAGGTTTACGCCCATTTTAAACCGTTTTCTAGGTTCTATCCATTTATATAATTGTGTCCCTTACTAGAATATTTTTCTAAACATGTTCAGGAAGTTGAGACAGAGGAGTAGGAGTAGGAAGAGTAAATGTTATATATGTACTGTATAGTAAGATGTTTCATTTACTCAGTCCCAAACATGACAGGCCAGGTTAGCAAAATTATATAGTCTGATGTCAGGAAAATTAACTCCAATGTCCTCTACCTGGTGATTCAATGTGGATAGCAAAATTCTTGCTTTCTTCCCCTTCCAGATAAATGTGTGAAAAGCTGAAGGCAATTTCTGTATATCCATATGTTTAATCAGGATGGGTAAGTTCTACATAGAGTATAATAAGCAGAGAAAATTGATCATTATGATTTGTGACATCTACCAAGATTGGATAGTGTAAGATCCTTCTACTGTTGCAGTTTCTTTACTTTATTAATAATGGAAAGAGAATTCCTAGTGTATATCTCTGAGACCTTAGGCAATCACTATTATTCCTAAATAGGTAAACGCATCAAATTTAATCCATTGGCCTAAGGGATGACTGAGGGGGCATCCTGTACGTATATCCTTATAGAGTACTTACTGTATTCTATCATAGGAAAGCTTAAGAGGAGAAAACTGAAAATAATTACCCCAAAAAATAAAAAAGGAGTCAAACAAACAAACAATTGGAAGTGTCCATGACATAAAAGGCAAGTGACCTCCTTTTCTCCTCACAATTATCCGCACAAGCGAAAGAGAGTGACTTAGACATTGTGCTTAAGTCTGTCAATGGACATGGACAGAGGAACCCACTGAAGCTACCAGTAGGGTTGAGTTCAAGTTTCAGACCAAATATTGACTTTTTGGGTGTTAACCCATTCAGCAGGACCTTATGTCTCCCACTACTATATATAACAGTTTTATATCTGTCAATAATTGCTAAGGAAGCTGCAGGTTCTACAACTTGCCCTTTGCTTTGCAAACAGAGATGTCACCCGGCTCCACAGATTTTCTGGATGGTAATCTCCAGCCAAGTAAACAAAGGAACTCATAGGGTGACATGGCTGACTAAACTGGCCATATTTGGTCAATGATGTCACCCAGAGGGCCCCTGCCCCTTTGTTTACTTTTAGCATTGGAGCCCTGGGAGATGTTATTCAGCCCAGGGAGTCAATACAGGATAAGACAGGATAATGTCTATTTGTCTGTGGAATTTTTTTCTTTTAGTGGGGACCAGGAACCATTTATCCTGATTGACGTGGATCGATGGACGACATGATTCACAATAGATGTACAAAACTTCTCAAAAAGTGTCTTTGTTTACTGTTTTTTGTGTGAATGAGTTGGATTACTATGTACCCTTTAATCATTCACATGGGGGGTGAAGAGAGCTTCAAGATTCTGATATGGTCCCACTTGCAGACCCCCATAACTAGACATGTGCACAGAAGAAAATTTTGTTTTCAGATGCATTTGTTAGGTAGAAATTACTTTTTAAACCATTTTCGTTGTGTCGGTCTATTTCATTTTTGGGATTAATTTTGTTTCTTCAGGATTAGCTTGGTATATTTGTTATATCGTGTGGAATTGAAAAAATTCAAAAAGTTTCAATAAGTCTTTATTCTATTTTAGGACGATCTGAATTCATTGCTAATATAAAAACAGATTGTTAAGGAGCGGGCAGCCACCTCGTTCTTAATAATCATGACTAATGTGCTGTCAGCACTGACATCAGAATATAAACAAACTGCCAGCATTAAAATAAAAAAAGAAAAGAACAGTGTGGGGGTCCCCCCAATTAATACCTGTCATTCAGCAAGTAATGAATCCCGTGGAAAGACAATAACAGGTAAACATGGTGGCGTGGTTACTCGGTAACCCCACCCCCCAGTGTATCTGTCATTCAGCATGTGTCCCTGGATGGGACACATAGTGTTCAGTGAGCGGTGTTTTTTTGCAGACCTGTGGGGAAGAGGTTCTTGTCCCCATCAATGTGGGGAAAAGGTGCTGTGGGGGAATTTCCCTCCCAAAAAACATCCCCCCACATTGAGGGCATGTGGCCTGGTATGTTAGAGGAGGGGATTGCTCACTCTTCCCTCCTTTCCTGGCCTGCCATCAGGCTGCATGTTCAGATAAGGCTCTGGTATGAATTGGGGGGGGAAAGTCTTTTTTTTTTTTTTTGAGTGGCGTTCCCCATAAAATACACACCAAAAATAAAGGACCTGGTATAGGTTAGGGGGGGGGGGGGCACTGGTTTTTATTTTGTAATTTTTTTGATGCCAACACTTTGTTGACATTCTGCTGTCAGTGGGGAATTTTCTGACAGCAGATGAGTCATAGTTGTTAAGGACACGGTGACTGCCTGCTCCTTAACAACCAGCTATTAGTCATGACTTTGAATAATATCGTATGAATTCCAAAATATAACGTAATTCAAATGAAAACAATGAAAACATGCATTATCTTTCATTATAGATTTTTTTCAGATTATTTACTATTCTTTTCTATTTTCATTTGGAAATTTGGATAAATCTGAATCTTCGAAAATGAAATATTTGGCCAAAAAAAGAATCAAAATGAAACAAATTGCACATGTCTACCCACAACAATCAGACCAGGGTTGCGTGTGAAAAAGCACTTGCCCAACAAAAAGATGGGGATAAGGTGCTTTGCCAGGGGGATCCTAGCATCCCAACACCACAGCACAACTTTCATTTCTCCCAGCAATGATCGCAACAAACAAAACAATGCCCCCACATTCACCTGTAAGCACTCCTACCAAGGTCCACATCCATTTTGATCTTCATCTGCAGAATGATGCAATGTTTTTTTAATCTATTGGCTTTAAATAATAACAATACCACTGGATTCATTGTGTTAAATAGCTTTGCTTCACACACTTCAAGCCCCATCCATCTTGATTCCTTGTTGTGATTACAAGGATGCAATACACAAAATGTTGAATTCACTTGTCCCCTACAGCCAGCTCTGGCTGCAGGAAATGTTTTAAATCCTATAGTAGAAAAAACACACACACTACACTATGGTCATCAAAATAAGATATGACCAAACTTTTGTGACAAAGAACGTTCTTTTCACTCATGCTCATTTCAGTTTTAATATTTTTTTTTCAAACAATAACCCTAAATACGACTAGAAAATCATTTGTTCTGATAAAAATTCCCAACATGTCCAATCTGTCATTTTCGATGGCCGTACGAAATCAACAGTTGTTGTGAGCACACTAATGATTCGATAATCTAACAATTGTTCTTTCAACATGAAATTTCATTCATTTTTCAACTCTTTCAACCCACTTAAAACCTTGCACCTCAGAACCAGGTAGGCCAAGAGGCATACTATGTTGGATACATTTCTCTAAAGTAAAGGAATTGATCACGACTGCTGCTCAGGCATCATATGAGATAATGTTTATTGGTACATTGATACTATTCCTAACAAATCTCTTAAGGTGCACAATATTAATACATTGTGTGCTCAAACCATTGTTGAAAATACTGTACAATGTGTGCAATATAAATGAGGATTCTTCTTTCAACTGATTACAACTAAAAATTACCAAAATGCATTTCTTAGCCACCTGGGCGATCTCGTCAGTCTACTAAGCACCTTCCAGACACTTGAGCCACTCATGCCATGGTTCTTGAGTAGAAAAAAATGGAAATCATCTACCCCTAAAATACAGCAAGAGTGACTGTCTGCTGAGGTGAACACTTGATTCACCTAAATCGATACATCCATCATCTAGCAAGATTCTGTTGGACTGCTACTATTCCATCACATCTTATTGAGTATTAACCTTCCTAGCGGTCTGATTATGTCCATATTTCTGTGCTCAAAGCGGTACATTTTTTTGCATGGAAATATGTATTTTTTTTATTGTAGGCCTGTAATTTTTAGGAATAACTCACTGAAATCTGTCCGAACAAGAGTCTAGTAAACATCCTGGGTATGTTAAAATTTGAAACACAAAATCATAAATTATAATTTAAAAATAATCATAAAAAATAATAATATAATAATAATAAATTTAATTCAATAATATAATCAAACCAAAAATACTGAAATTTGAAATATAGCACCAAGTTTGCACATCACTGAGCAAAGTCGCAGAATCGTTTTCAGTGTCTGATGACGAATTTCCCCACGAATCATCATCACTCAATTCTGCAAGTAATTCTAATTTACTATCGCTGTTCTCTAGCTGGTCTAAAAAACCGATTTTGACCTAAAGGGGTGCTTTTTGGATGCCATGGACGTTTCTCATTTTCCAGGCAGAAAGAACAGTAAAAATGTAGGCAGGGCACAGGACAAAGCACTAGGGACAAAAAGTATGTGAAATGGTTTGATACAGTAATGTTTTACTATGTTATTTTAGTGAATTTAGTGAATGTCACTTTTTGTCATTTTCAAATTTACCGCCGGTTCCATCCCCGTACGTCCCGCCGCTCGCAGGGGACGGAACCCAGATGACAGATGCCGGCATCCGCCGGAGGACATTACAGGAGGGACATCGCGGGAGCGCAGGACAAGGTAAGTGATGGAGGGATCCCGGAGCAGCGCCACATGGTAAGCCCGAGTGTAGCTCGTGGTTACCGCTTGTGGTACTGAAACTTTACCCCAAGCTACACTCGGGCATACTGCCAGGGAGGCTACTGTTCCTACAAGGATTTGTTAACTGTTTAGTTTGAACTTTCAAGTTCTTATACTAGCTCCCAACTTAACTGTTTCCTCATTGTAGGATCAGACACTATCTTCTGCCCCATTGCCTTTTAATACATTGCTCACAGACACATATGGTCTCAACTGTTCCTCTGACAGGAAACTCATTTAGGTTTTTTTACTAGCTGCTACCTCCAACATTTTTGCCCCAAGTCCTAAAAAATTATGCTATGCTATCTACCATGCCACAGCTCTATATGTTATAAGTCAGGAGTCCTGTGGCACATGGAACAAACACCTCTCTGCTACAACTCATCTACTGGATAAGACTGTGAGCTCAACACAGAGCTCATATGAGTCTCTACCCTCATTTTGAACTTACCCTCCACAGGACATTACCCCCTTGGACTTCCTCAGACATTTGTAAATTGTTAGATTTTAAGACCAAGTGCTGTTTTAGAAGCTGGGCCTCTCCTATTGATATGCAAATGAACCGGTTAGACTGGTTTATGAGCTCAGCAGAGGAAGTCAGGATATGACATTAGGAAATGGAGGAGGGGATTAGGACTTTTGAACAAGCATCTGGCTCAGGGAAAGATAGAGTGCTCTGGACTTTGGAGAAGAAGCAGCTGTTCTGTGAGACAGAGGAAAGACACACTTGTTCTTAAGATGGATGAGGAAGCAGTTGGACTCAAAGAACCATGAAGAAGATTGCATCAATAGAAAGCCCAAATTGAGTAGCTGTTTAATATACTTATTGTATAAATATTGTACATGCTTATTTTCTAGGAATATAGTCAGCTTGTGCATTTTGTAGGCATATTTTGTTATACTTTGTATGCTATGAACTATTTTTCCTGCAGTTGTATGTGCAACTTTTCTGTTTAGTAAAGGAAATATTAATGCACTATAGAGGTTTAATCATTTCCTTGGCTTGTACTGCAAAATAACCTTTTACTAGACACCAAAGCAAAACAGTGACATATTGGCTTTTGTACCCAGAACACATCAGGCAAGAATACAGAGCAAAGTAAAACATAAAGTAAAACATAAAGTAAAACAGAGAATACAGAGCATTCTACCCTCTTTCCTTCTCTATCCCCCCAACTCTCTTCTCTTGGTTTTAAAATAGGAAATACTTGTATCTCCTAATACGTACTATCTGAGCATTCTCTGTGAACAAAGTTTTTTTATCATCCAAGATATTCACAATTTTATCTGGAGGGTTTAAATGTGTTGCATTAAAATTTCCCCAGCATTCATTATTCAGATCTCTATGTACTAGTGACATACAAGGAGCAAGACAGCAAAAATGGTCTTCCCTGTCAAGGTATTGGAGAAAACTGATTTTCTTTTTCCAATTCCTTAATAGGGTCAGCAAACCCAATGTTGGCATTCCATGTTGTAAAGATGTTTAAGGGTTATAGATTCTATATCTTCCCCAAACTCAGCAGTAAGATATTGGTGTCAAGTCCCAAGCTTAGAATAGCTGCTGTAGTTAAATCAAGGGGACATCACTCTCTCTGATGGATTTAAATTTTTTTTTACATTATGTAAGTGCAGTATACATAATGCAGACTTCTCTTTATGTTCATGTGTTAAGTCCTGTTGAACAATGTGTTCTTTGCATAACTAAATATGTATATGTAGAAGAAAACTTGTGCACATAGGCAGATAACAATAAGAAAACACAATCCCATACAGATGAAAAATTCCACTGCAAATACAAGCAAATAGAGAAAATCATATAGTGACAATAGAGTATTTTACCAAAAGACCGTAAACCAGGGCCTGGTTATATTTAAAAAAACAAAAACAAAAGCAGCTTTGTATTTAAAAAGAAACTTAATGTTAAGAACAAAATTGCCCTTTCGAGCAAGCTTGACAAAGGGGGGTGGTGCTCTTGAAATGCATCATCACCCATCCCCTGTGACATTGTGCTTAGGCTGTGAGATTTATGGAACATGATTGTAGATGCCCCCGGTTCCCATGTAGGTAGATCTGGCACTAATGCAACTGAGGTTTACTGAACATCAGTGTTTTCATTTTGGGTTCCTGTATGTTGCTTTTCATCTTCTTTCTGCACCCTAAGCTGGACACAGGCAAATATAATGCAAGTGATGATATTTCTGTCAACAAACACAGTTTTTACAGCTTTTTTATTCATGCCTGCACCCTCACTATTTTATATTTTCTTTAGATACAGCTCTCACACTTTCTCAAATGACCAACGTTCACATCTTCATGGCCATAGCTAGCCAGAATCTACCCTAATTGAGCCTGACTGTGCTCAAAATGCTGATTGGAAGGAGTAAAGGAAAAGCCTCCCATACCTATCAGGTAACAACAAAAAGGTCCTGTGAGGTTCTTTACTCTTCTTATGGGAAGAAAACCATTTCTAAAAAAAACTGGAGAATAAATATTTTGCAAGTAATTTTGGAATGAAAAAAATATGAATATAATCTCCTGCGCCACTACATATAATAATACTATACAGCAGCTAGCACTAAAGGTGCCACAATCACAACACCAACAGTAGTCAAGAAAATAAAGATATAAAGCAGTGCAGCGCTCAAAACAAAGTGAAGTATACTATATCAGATGACATACAGATATACAGGTGGCCCACATGGCCATAACGTCTAAAACATTAATGGGCTGGTGGTGACTAGATCTCAGACCACTTAATCATGCACTATAGTGACTTCAAGCATGTGCAGTAGATAGTGTCCATGTGCATAAAATAACATGCTGGTGTAAACTGTAGGTGCCAATCCTCAAATAGGTGAAGTGCCCCCTCACCTTCCTGCCCAGGCCCCTAGGGACCAACGAGCCTTTGAGTATATGGTAAATCTTGGATAGATCCTTCAGATGGTGAATCCCTCAGGAAGTAATGGTGGGACTCTCCTCCTCTTATCTCCTATGTCAGAGCGTTGATGGTATCGAAGGTACCCCTCCCACACGATCATCAATAAGGAAAAAGAACTTGCATAGTGTAAAATCGCTTTATTGAATGAGTATAAAAACCAAAATTCTACTCACACATTTATTCATAAAAAACGAGCCTTCACACTACTCAAAGGGTGTACTGCATTCAGGAACTGGGAGCACCAAGATGGCGCCCACGCTGGATATGACGTCAGAACGTTCGTGTAAACTCCTCCCACTGGCGTATCTACGCGTTACGTCACTTCAAACACGTGACTTCATCAGCAATTTTGGAATGCAGTTTACAGCTAGGCAAGTTAAACCATCTTTTTGCTGCACACATTCTAAACAAAATGTTGCAATAAGTCAATTAAAAATGCAGAACTCCGTTCAAACACATACCTGGGAAGGAGCTGCCCTGACCCTGCCTGTTAAGTGGTGCATCTGTGCAATGTATACAACCTATTACAGCAGAATGTGTATCTAAATTGCCACCAAATGACAGTTTACAACTACAGTTGGGCTTGATGCTTGAGTCGAACATATGTTCGACTCAAACATTGGCCGTTGGTGAGTTCGGTGAACACATGAACGGTAAGAGCCTTCGGTGGGCTGCCACGCACCACAATGCACTGTGCCCTGACAGTACATTGTGATTGGCCAAAGCAATTCACCTGACCAACTTGACCATATCTCAGCAAACTTTTGTAGAGAGCATTAAGCATTGCAAGAGAGGTACACATGTTTCTCAAACAAAATATATTTATTCACTTTGGATTTCCACTCATCTACAGATGGTGAAGGAAAGGATACCCATCGTGAAACAATCAGTTTTTGTGCAATAGAAAGAGATCTTAAAACTGAAACAGATAACTTTGAGTCCAATGTATTGAAATCAGCATATCCTGGATAAAAATGGTCCTTTTAAAGCAGAAGAATACCTGTGAAATATCGAGTTTTAGATAAAGGTTGTTCAGGCTGTCAGTTTATAGAATAACTGCCCACCAATTACAAAGAGTAGCAATGTTTTCTTGATGACGATAAAATAAACTTACATTCAGTAAATCCTTGGTGTGCTGGGGACTACTCTTTGTTCTTTGGAGGCACCATGCATCTGGTTACTACAGTGACTACTATTTAGTTAAAGTATCATCATTTTTGCAGGCAAGATATCTTACTACTGCCCTTCTACAGAGAATGGCTGCTTACATACAGATAATGCAGAGGCCATTGCTTTTTGTGAGAGACTTCTCAATGAATATGCAAAATGACTTGTTACTTACTTTCATTTGAAGCATGCAGAGCATTGCAGTGCTTTGTCATGCTGCATAGGAAAGTTTCTCCAAGGGTCAATAAGGACTGCACTGATGTTTTCCATGTATTTCCTGTATTTATTCACAATGATATACCAGCTAACATGACCAAGCAGAGGGATTGCATGGGAACAAAACATGTGCTAAACTTTGCATTTCTATCATAAACCTATTTATGCAGCTCTTAAAGTATATATAATATATAGTATAAGTAAAACGCTGTATAGTCGGTTTTACCATTCTTTATTCTGTGTCAACTGAATACATTGTTATATTGACATATATTTTTTTATCACAATGACCATTTAATGTGCGGAAGAATAATTATTTTTACTGTGGAGCATTTTTTTTCACTGCCAACAAGAACTGCCTCCTGTTTTATTTTTCTAGCTAAAGATTAAGGGCCATTTGCACTTTCCGCAAAGTAAGTGCATTTCTTCATATGCTTGGTGGGGGTCAGTTAACAAGATCTTATATCCCCTTTTAACTAAGGAAACAAAATAGAATTTAACATTTTAATAATGTATCTATTTAAGAGTAAAGAAATGTGTGTCACCAGTATCACACAATCTGTCTCATACTCTCAGTGGGTTATGCATCTTCTGGGAAATGATGCTGGGTTGCTAATCACTGGTATTATTATAATGCAATGACAAGCATGAGGGGATAACAGTATCAAGCTGTCAATTACAGAGGGGACAGCGCTTAACACTTTTAATAGTTGTGCTGTCCTCAGCCAATGCTAAACATTAA